ATAATAAATGTAAACTCCTTTTCTTGACCAGTATTGTCTATATTTCGTTTTTATTTAATAATTAATATTTTTTATAAATGCCTCGCTCATTTATAACACCATGCGATAATAAACTTTACACATAAAAATCAATATATTCGCGAAACCATGGGCCACTCTGACATCAGTAGTTTAAAAATTACCCAGCCAGCAAAATATCCGGAAACGTATCCGAAAATGGAAACAATTTCGTATAAAAACCTGATGTTTCATCCGTTTTCCGATTCCGTTTTCGGACGTTTTTCAGATCAATTCTCCCACTAAAGTGTTCATCCGAAATGTATGTGCAGAAAACTATCGAAAATGGTTGTAAAACGGATGCGCTTTCGGCTGTTTTCCTGAAAATTTTCAGAGTCAATTTTTCGTTGAAAACGATTTCATTATGAACTTCACAGAAGCTTTTTCATAGTTACAGGAAACCAAACCAAAAACAAATTTAAGATTCAGCAATTATTTCAATTTTAATAAATCATTTTAATGTGTTGCTTCTGACGGAATATGAACCTGGGACCTCCTGAAAGCTAACAAATAGTAGCAAACTTCTCTGCACACTCAGCTACTGGCGAATACGTATACATGTTTTTTTGAACAAATATTTTAAAATTAATTAGGGAGTTCACAAGTCGTGCTATTTGTCATATTTGCTCTTTAGTACTATTTTTTTAGAACAGTTGTAAAATGAAACTTGTGAGCATCCCATACTTTTTCGTGTGCTATTGTACAATATTTTAACAATTATATTTGACAAAATCAAAATTATTAAAACAGCTTTAGAAAGTTTATAATGCCCAGAAGAAGCGAGAAAAGCAAATTAATGGCTGCGATTTGCGAGAAGTACGCGCAGGACGCAATGATGGAAGGAAGTGAGTCGTCAAATAAGTCATTTATGAGTTTTTTAAATTTATTTGGTGCATTTTTGTTAGGCGATGAAGATGAGGAGGAAGAGATCGATGAAACTTTTAGGTTGAATATGCTTGTGTTGTTGGCAAATCATCCATCCATGCTACCTGCCCCTGTCGAATCTTCCCAATCTTTCGCTTTCTTGTAATTCATTTTCATATTACGCACTTTAGAACGCACCAGCTTCCACTGAATTTCTAGTTTTTTTTCTACACAGAAACGCGTATAAAAATCCTGGGCGGACGGCTTCTGCAAATATGTACTTATATATCCAAATTATATTTATACATATGTGTTTAAGGAAAAAACCTCAAATAGGCGGTTTTCTAAAAGAAAATCAAGTAGGGACTTCTCTTCCGACACTGTCCACATATGGTTTGGTTTTCCCCGGACACGCTTAGTTTTGCACTGAATTAAAAAAGATCTTTAATAAGTTAAATATGTTATAAATTAAAGATAACTTACTCCCAAGGTACATTGGTAGTATCAGTAGAGCAGCTGATTTGCTTTATTTTCAAGTTATTTGGTCTCGAAAATGTCAAATTTTTTTAATTTTTTCTCACAAAAATTCTGAATTATTAAAATCCATTTGCATGTGAAACCTTTTTCCATACAAAACAAGCGATTGAATAGCGGCTTTTGGAACGTTCGCCCAACTCAGCAGCACAACCGCTGATTACTGGCCCTTGTAAAGGATGGATCAATGCTTCGAGAAGCAAACAAATTTACTAGGAAAGAAAGTTGCAACAATTTTTATTTTTTCCAATTTCAATTTTTTATATTTTTTTGTATTTCACATGGCACGCTTTGATTTAGAAGAAAAAATTCAG